TGGGGGCACCGAGGGGTCTCCGTGGGTGGGTGCATGCGTGGGGGAGGGCTGGCAGGGCTGACCATAGGGCCAAGCCAGCACCCCCGCTGTCCCCTGTGTCCCCCCCAAGGCTGGAGGGGTTCCCCCCTCCCCGTGCCCCCCCCCCCAAGGTTGGGGGGGGGGGGGCCCCAGTTGGAAACGCCCCCGCAGCCCGGCCAGTGCCCACGGGAGTCCCCTCGTGTCCCCACAGCTGCGGGAAGGGTGCGGGGGGGGGGGGCCACGACCAGGCGGACTGCCCCCCCCACCCCGCAGCATCCTTGAGCGGACGGCTCCATCCAGTGGCCTCCGGCGGTAATGACACCCCCTCCTTGGGGGGTGACACCCCTTCTTTGGGTGCTGGCACCCTTGGGTGCTCATACTCCCCCGTGGGTGCGAACACCCCCTGCTTTGGGAGCTGATACCCCACCCTGCAGGTAATACCCTTCCCTGGGGGGGGAAGACACCCCCCTCCCACCCTCGGGTGCAGATAGCACCCTGGTGGGTGCAAACATGCTCCTTAGGTGCAGACACCCCCTTCCTGGGGTGCTGACACCCTTTTTTGGGTGCAAACATCCCTCCTTTGGGTGCATATACTCTTCTTTGGGTGCTGACACCCTTCTTTGGGTGCTGACACCCTTCTTTGGGGCAAACACCCTCCTTTGGGTGTAAATACTCCTCTTCGGGTGCAAACATCCCTCCTTTGGGTGCAACCACCCTCCTTTGGGTGCAACTACCCTTCTTTGGGTGCAAACACCCTCCTTTGGGTGCAAATACCCTTCTTCAGGTGCAACCACCCTTTTTCAGGTGTAAATACTCCTCTTCGGGTGCAAACATCCCTCCTTTGGGTGCTGACACCCTTCTTTGGGTGCTGACACCCTTCTTTGGGGCAAACACCCTCCTTTGGGTGCAGCTACCCTTCTTCAGATGCAAACAACCCTCCTTTGGGTGTAAATACCCTTCTTCAGGTGCAACCACCCTTTTTCAGGTGTAAATACTCCTCTTCGGGTGCAAACATCCCTCCTTTGGGTGCAACCACCCTCCTTTGGGTGCAACTACCCTTCTTTGGGTGCAAACACCCTTC